CAATTACTAGTTATTATTCTTAATTTAAAGGCATTTATTTTAAAATTAAAAACAATATGTACCTATATAAAAAATAAATGGTTGTAAAATATTGTCAGTACGTCAAAAATTTTAAAGTAAAATATTACTATAACCGTAAACAGTAGGTACCTAATTTTCCTGCTGTGCAGCTTGTTTATCGTTTTCATTAACCTATCTACCTACAATAGATGGTATAAAATAGCTTGTTAATAAAACATGAATGACAAAATACATTGTTTACTTTGGAACTAATCTTTGATAGTGCCTAACCTGTTTCAACAATGTAAGTATACATATACTTACTGATAACTTTGGAGTATATATCTCTAGGTATGAAGATTAAACAAAATAAAGAAATGACACTATTGTTGTGACAATTATTTTCAGCGGAACATCGCATTGTGTGATCTCGCGTTCGATTCTCAATCGTGGTCTATTTAAAAACGAGATTGTGTTCTAAAAAACGATTTTTCAATTAAAATCGTTTTTTTTTATGATGAAACCGGTTATTTAGATCTAAATCTAATCTCTATGGCAGCAATCTGTAAGTATATCCTTTTAGAAAAAAAAAGAATTTTCCAAATCGGTTCAGAATTCACAAAGTTATGAAGTAACAAACATAAAAACTTTTAGAAGTCGATTAAAAATATATAGTGCATCACAAATCGTTATCGTATGGTTTATTTATTACTGGTAGTGACAAATACGCTTGTAAATCTGATACCTGTGTTGTAACAATGTTCTAATATACATTCATTAAAAATTGCCCAACTATTTTTATTTCTGTTATTCAGTGAATTTCTAGCATAAATCATACCTGAACTTACTTACACGGTCCGTTGTCGTATAATATGGTATCAAAATAATTTATAATTAATAGTTAGTTATTACTTGTATTACTGTATAAAATATGCCATTTTCAGTGATTTATTTACATACACTTTAAAATACATTACCCTAATTTCTTCAGCAGTCGGATAAAAAAGATCACTTCGAATTGGCAACTGCTCAACCTTTTACAGATTCAATTGTATTCAGTAGGTATGAATGACAAGTATAGGGGACACCTTCAGTTGCTCGTAAAATTCCACTACATATTCAAGGATCGCATATGTTCGAGATTTACTGAATTTGTCGGTAATACAGTGGCTGGTATTTCCGACCTTTGTATGTCGACATCCTTATTGTTTATTCTAGTAAATTCAAAGATAATACCCACGAGATACATATTTGTACTATATCGTTTTTATTCTATTCATGCTCTTGGATAGATCCATAATACTATCTGTGTTTTACATAAACTTAGTATAACATATTCTCACATGTGTTTTATTATTGAAGCATTTATATAGATAGTTTATGGTAAAGGGGAAGGATAACATATTTATCTTCAAACCGGGTCTCTTTGACCTAATGTAAGGCGAACCTAGTAATTCAAAGACATCTATTCTTACAAACATTTCTTGCTCTATACATAATATATAAAGAATATACTACATTTATGTTTCCAAAGCTAATGTAAGTTACCTACTTCTGAAAATGAAACCACTTATTTTTTTCTCTCTTCCGATCCTAGTTATATATCTCATGGGAATAAAATAGATTTCATTGCCACTTTGCTCTGTCGTCGATCGTCATTAGAAACCTTACACTCAACAATCAGTACCAGATACCATTATCATCATACCAGAATATCAATTGTCATTGATATTCTGGTATTTAAAACTACTAGGTTCTTTACTTTATATACATAAGTCATTGTGTCTAAATAGAACAAATTTAACTTAAATAATTTTCATAATAATTAAAGATTGTGTCCTACAGAAAAAAAAAACCAGTTCCAATCGTAACAAAACCATTTATTTTGATTTAAAAACTATTGAACCGATTTCATAAAATTTCTATGAGATCATTCTGTAAGCATACTTTTCTTTCAGATAAAAAATATTTTTCTAAATCGGTTTAGAACTGACAAGTTACGAGGTAACAAACAAAAAAATACAACCGAATTGAGTATTTTGTTCTTTTTGAAGTCGGTTGAAAATGAATTATTTTGATAAGGTAATAAGAAAAGTGAGGAAAAGTACGTAGGCAGGAATTATTAATTACAAACATGATCTTTATATCTATATTTTAGATAGCGATCTACTGTAATTTATACAGTTATCTGTTTTACTATCCTAGTATCACATTTGCATACCTACTTTGCTTATATGATAACAGTCTTTGTTCTCGGATAAGATGCCGTTTGACTTCTGAATAGTATAGGATACGTAAACAAAATGTCCTTGATGTCGTCTCTCATATTTTTATATATATAATATGAACAATCAATACCAGCTCAGCGGTATTACATCATGCTAATAAAAGAAAAAGAAGACTCGATCATATGAATAAATATGAAATTTGAGGTAAAAATAGGCACTATCAAGGTTAACAATTATGTATTTTGAGGCCTTTTATTTTATCTAGCGTCACTTCATTTCTCTTACAAGGTATAAGCGGAGAAAAAACATAAGTAATTAATAGCATTGCTAGTTAATTCATCATCATCATCAGATCAGCCTTTAACTAACCACTGTTGAAGATTAGCCTCCCTCTTGCGGATTTTGCTAGTAGATGCCACGCTTAGCAGGCAGATTGGCAACCGCAGATAGGCTTTAGAAATGTTTTAAGAGGGACGCTACTGCCTACCACTTGCCCTCCCCTAGTCGCCTCTTACCACACTCACAGGATAGGAAGAGGTGACCTATTCTATGCCGGAATGACACTCCTAGTTAATTGATAGCTATTTGTTTTTGATAGCAAATAAGATATTCAATTTAGGAGTGTTAGATCAATAAGATGACTCTGCGACTTAAAGAAAGGGATATAACAAAGGGACCCATTTAGGGTTATGTAAGTGCTATTATCAAAGTTACAGGCAAACACGCTAACCCACATTTAAGCTTTGTGGTAAAACGTAGAACTATCATAACGTTTCTACCAAACTAGACTATGAGCATATTTATTGAATGTAGGTCACCGTTATATATTTACAACATCAGATAGAGATACATATAGCATTTTTACCTAGTTTTGTGGCTCGTGAATTTTGGTTATTTATATTGTATAATTAATTTTGTGTATGTACTCGTATATCAAATTAAATAGATTCTTCTCTTCTATAAATATCATTATTCAGGTATCAATAATAGTTTTTTTTACGGGTGAAATTGGAATGGTTTGCCCTGCCTGCGCTAACGGGATATGCTGGCGGAGCATCAGTGAAGGATGATAGATGAGAACGAAAACAGGCCAGTTAGCCCATCATGATGAATTCATCAGGAATTAACCATGATAGTTTCCAGGGGGAACCGCGAGGAGGTCGACCTGGTTGGGTATATTGCTAGCAATGGGATTCTCAGTCTCCATTACTAACAATCCCTTTCCCCCCATAATGGAAATATTAGGTAGGAAATTAACCATATTATTATAATAATTAAAAATTATGTCCCACAAAAAAAAACACCGGCTTCGATTCAGGCAAAGCCAGTCTTTTATTTTAAATATAAATTTAACAGACTTTGAGAAGTTTTTTATGACACCAATTTAAAAAAAATAATAAGGTTAAAAAATAATAAAAATTACAAATATACAGTTATGAGGTAAGAAACATAAAAAAACAACTGAATTGAGAACCTTCTTTTTTGTAAGTTAGTTGAAAATAGTATAGACTTTATCAAAAAGAACTTTTCCTAATATAGTTTGTCGCGCTAGCCGAGGACTGCTTCAACCTCTGGCCAGGATTTGTACACAATGCAGATACTAAATGATTTACAATCGATATTATACAAGCATGGCACTTTGATATTATAATAATAATATATTTTTAATACTTGTTAATTTCATCTCTAATTATTGTATTTTTTTTTATACAACTTAGAATGGCACACAAGTTGACGGCCTACCTGATGGAAAGTGGTAACCGTCGCCTATAGACATGAGCAGTACCATGGACATAACAGAGTATACTGTTTCGCCCATGATACTAATAATAAGTATTCACCACTCTGGTTATATTATTATGTTCCCAAAACTAATAACATTTATAATATTTGTAGTCTATTATTAACTGTTATATATGCCACAACGTAATATTCATTGCAATCGCAGCTAAACAAGGAATGGTTGGATTAAGTTCATGCGTTACTTGTAATAATTTATATTAGGTCACAGGGAGGAACAATGGTAGGTTTTACGAGCGGCGATGTGCACGTGCACACCCCTTTGAAAACGTAAAGATCGTAAAGAAAAATTTCACCTACATTTCATATTTGTCCCATTCGAGTTTCTGCCGTAAAACAGCTGTGTTTGTATGGATATATGTCGGTTTGAAGGGTTGGATGTGGTAATGAAATTAAAAGTATCATAGGCATATTATGATACCATTATCATCAGGAATTGCAACAAACTGGAGGTACCTGACCATCATAGTGTATTTTGTGATATTCAAGGTGCAGTTCATGTTTACAGGCGACGTTATAATCTACTACTTTCCGTTAGATGGACCGTTAGTTTATTATTCATTCTAAGTTGTATAAAACAATAATATTTTAATCAAATGCTGATTCACTCTATTAATTCTGAATAAACATAAACAGGTTTTGAGATTATACATTTATCCATTCAATTATAATAAACAGATAACGTCAGCATAGATCCTCAAATATGTGTGTATAGACTGCAAAGAAATATGGTAGGGGTTGTTAGAATAGGGATTAGGTTAACGGTGTCATTGTTAGCAAAATATATATACTACAAGTTCGACCTTTACGCGGTCTCCCCTGGAAACTATTGCGCTTAATTTCTGGTAATTTCTCATAATAGGCCAATTGAGATATGACTTCATTCTCACCTAATATCCATGACTGGTACTCTGGTTGCGTTCCTATTCCGTTTCAATTCATATAATAGAAATGTCTTGCCATTAATTTCAGGTAACATGAAGCGGCGGCTAGGCCGAGCGAGGGGCTTCGTTCTCCGCATGTTTGACGCACTGTGCAACTGTACGCAGACAGCGGCCGCCGCCGCCCGCACCACTGCCCGGAACAACCCATTCACTAAGCGCTAACCCGGTCACGCTCGATAATACCGGTCGAGAATATGAAGCTACTAAGCTCGAGTCCTAATGTCAACAAGTGAATGTGACAAAGTCACAAAAAATCCGATTGTTAAATACTTTTGACAGGTCACGGCCGCTATTTCTTATTTTATTCTGTCGTCATCTAACTTATGCCATTCCCAAAATTAAAATGAGTATAAGGTGAGCCGTTTATTAAAATTCATCAAGGCGTTTAGGTTTTACATTGAGGTAAATATCAGGAGATACCTACATATATTATAACACACATCTGAAAGATATTACTCTCATTTCTTCTGCAGTCGGTTAAAAATAATAGACAATAGTTACAATTTTTCCTGCTAATCATTGTACGGGTTTTAACAATCGGAAACCCAGCAATGATAGGTATTAATGAAACTGAACGTTCCCCAAAAACCATAGTTTTCACCTTGAATCTTTCTTACTAAATAAATCAGAACACGCGGCTTGCACCTGCCTATGAAGGTTTCGAAAATAATTTTCAAACCTTACAGCTGTATTGATATTTATGTTGATAAATTAGTAAGTTGAGTTTGGCGCTGTAGCGGTTTAATACACCGCCTTACCTTCTGACGTTTGAAGGTTTGGTCCCTGCACAATAAGATTTGTATTTTTATGTACGTTTTTTTATATTGGTTTAAGTATTTTTTATGTATAAATAATTTTGTGTATTTACAAAAAGTATTTAAGTATGCCCATCACTTGTCCAATACCCATAGCGCTGTGTAATGTCGTTTAGTGGTATTTATTTACTCTGATATGTATAACATTACGCTTTTAAAACTTTGATAGATGCTTAAGTTGAATTACCTACAAGTATTTCTATTTTGCACCCTATGTTCTTTGGGTAAGTTGTTCAGTTTCCCTACATGTTCTACATGGATTACTAAAATTTCAAATATGACTGTATGATACAGGAAATTCTATACAATTGTCATTTATAATAAATACTATTGTATATTGAAGTAAAACATTAATATCTCAATGAGAGAAGAAATAAAAAATATGTAATAATTATATTTAATGTTAATCATATGTATTATAGTACGTTTGAGTGCGCAGTAGTGCACCACCAAGTTCCAAAAATTAATGTTGTAATCCGACTAAACCCTTATAAAAACCTTGGTGTCTTCCTAAATTTAGTCTCCAGAAAACGGTGTAACATGGTGTTATGTGATCGGTGTGATGACGCTTATAGTATGTAAGACTATGTATTTAGCAATATTTAGCAGAAGATACTATTTGGATACTCCCATCGTTTATACACTGTCCAATTTTATGCCTTTTCGACTAAATATTTACTCGTGTATAAAAAATTACCTATTTGCCCATTTTCTATATTTACGTTTTTTCTACACTCTTCTATGATATTGTAAAATTTATTTCTTGATAAAGTGTACGCTATAAGATTTATGTGTTTTCACATATCTATTATATAGTATTTAAAATATAATATAATTCATTAATACATTTTGTGAGTAGGTACCCCATATATTGTATTAATTTGTATAAAAAAATTGTCCCAAGCACAAATGTCAGGAAAAACGAATCGAGCTCAAATATTATGTAAAATTTATTTTGAGTGTTTTGTTTTAGTTTAGAAAATGCAAAACATTTTATGGACATATAGGAATGTATAAGAAGTAGAATAATAATAATAATTTACTTTAAACAATGTAAATGTTAATGGATCTTAAAGACAAGTGTGTCGACTCGATTAAGTATGTGAAGAGAGAAAAATATCTACTTACTAGTAAAAAATTACAAAAAAGAGCTTTGATAGTTGTGAACAAAATGTGTGTACGTAATTAACGTGAGGATTGATGAGATATTTGGTGAATATTTTATATTTTGTTTGAATACTTTAATAAAATTAGGATACGAAAATCTGTCTCAGTGTTATATTAATGAGCGTGGAAAACGTATTTCTACCATAATCCTAATAAAATACAATATTCCAACGATATGTTTATTAATACTAATATCATTTCAAAATAGAACCTTTCGATACTAGCTCACTATCAAACTTGACTTCATCGGATTCATAAAAAATTGCTCTAAAAGTATAGAATTAGAACATGGCCCTCAAGTTTTGTCACTTGTTTCTATTTAAACAGTGATGGTTACCATCCCACCCATCGAATTACTTGCCATTACTTGTAGTATATAAAAGAGTATATAATTATGTTACTTATATAATGATAACACCGCAGAATCCGATGACGTCACTAGTAATAACCTAAGTACAGAAATAACACATAATTAGTGGTTTCATTGTTCAAGTAAACAACTACTTAACTACCATTTCCAAGCTCATTAAGTGGACGATTAAAATAAACGACTTAAATAAATGTTATATGTGATATCCTGCCTATAACCTTCACTTCCGGTGCGATTCTAATCTCATCTATTCCTATAAATAAAGTCATTTTGTAAATAAAGAAGTAATGTTATTTACCTCATTATTAATTTATAAACTAATTCATTATTTATATAAATTATTTTAGGGATAGATTAGGTTATATTAGTATATAAAACCTAACCTATCCCATGAGCTACCTGAAATCGACGTTTGTTCGCTTCCCCAATCGATTACTTTTCCCTTAGATACTTCAGATATTCTGCTGTCCGTACCAAATAGGGAAAACATGAAACTTAGCTATTACAGTATTTAATTAATCTATCTAGAAGCGAAGATAACAGTCGCTGAATGTTATCTCAAAAACTGCTTGACCTACGATGCTGAAATTTGGTAAGAATAACCTGTTTTTTATACTTGGCATATTTAGGAAATAATTTGCGTACTAGCACGTATCATACATATCTGCTTGGAACATCAAAATATCTAAATCATAACAACATTCATTAGGCCAGGGATGCATTTTCAAAAATCTATTACTTTTAAAAATTGCGAGTCACGACTGTCGTTTACATTAATCTTCGAAACTGCTGAACCGATATTAATGGAATTCTGTATATATACATTATTTAATAATAATACATACATCTGTATATTTTTAATAATATATACAGATAAGAATACATGAGATACAAGATTGTTGGATCAGCTAGAATTATACAATCTTGTTTAAGAATCATCTTTAATATTTAGGTACATTGAAATATACTTGAAGTATCTAATAAATTGAAGATTGTCTTACAATAAAAAAAAAACTTTAATCGTGACAAAACCAGTTATTTTGATCCAAAAACTAAACTGATTTTGATAAAATTTCTTCAGATAAAAATAAAAATTTCAAATCGGTTTAGAACTGACGAAGTTATGAGGTTTAATAACAAAAACACAAAAAAAAAAAAAATAAGCGAATTGAGAACTTCTTTTTGAAGCCGGTTAAAAAGATTTTAATAAGTATGTTACTTGTACCTATCTATATACATTTATATTATTTTATTATTTTAATAGAATTATCTAAAACAATAATTTACTTTTACGATGTTATCTATTTGCGTGAGTTGCACTTATAACGGACAAAGTAAAAAAAAAGCAGGCCTAGATGGTATAGTCATATCATGAGAAGGGATTATAACTTCTCGGCAAAAAATATCCCAGCAACGTGCCGGGGAAAAGGAAGATCTCCTGCTTCATGGTGGTCCAGTATCGAGGAGATAAAGGCACGGAACCTAGCTTCTGTGACAACCCAGGACAAATGATTCAGGCGACGCTGTACAAGACCTGACCCCAAATAATGGTTGAAAGATGCCATCTATTTATGACAGTAATGTTTTTTTTTCCAGAAATGAATAAAACTGTTGACGAAGTGTAGTACAGTAGAAACATATTTGGTTTCTACAATTAAACACAGATGGCGTTAATTTATATAATTACGAGTATACTCTCTCAATCTGTTATTAGTGGCTTTCGATGTCTAAATCAACGTGAAAGTTTATAAAGATGTTTGGATGATTATTATCACTACACGTCTGAAAAGGTTTAAATGAAATTTGGAAGACGGTAGGTTATATTGTAACTTAACATACGATTCTTTTTATACTGATTCACATAGATAAATTTGCAGGAACTAGTCAATTAAATATCATCATATCAGACCTTAAGTGTCCCCTACTGCACATCCTCGCCCATAGGGGTTTTGGCTATAATTAATATATATAATAAGTTAATAAATGAATACATATATAGAATCACTGAGTACATGCCAGTCTGTTCTACGAGTAGTCTAGCTGTATAGTAAAAAAAAAAAATAGATGGTGTTATTTGCATAAGTACTTTGTCCTGGAGATAAGTTGTTTATAGTTTACTCAAATATATAAGTGACGTCAATAGCATGCCAGCTTGCAAGGCACTGACAATTTAAAACAGTTTTCTAGATCACTTTTTTGGATTTGATGAACAACAATAATATTAATGGCAGAAATAAAATTAATTATTATTTATGATAATGATTTATTTTCTTGTACTTACTTCCTATATTTTTTATAATTTGGTGAGCGATCTCTGTCCCTCTTCTTTTTTTTACCCTTACGTTTCTTATCAATATCTCGTTTTCCCTCTGGAGTCTTTTTTCTTTTATCTCTTACAGGAGAAGAATCTGAATCAGTGCTCTTGCGACGATTTTTGCTTTTATGTCTCCGTCGTTTTTCCGAATCGGACAGAGAGTTCAAAGAATCGCTACTGCTGTATTTTTTCTCTTTCTTTTTACGGCGTCTATACCTCTCTTCACTATCTGATGAGTCTCTCCTATGCCTATCTCTGCTTCGGCCATTTGAAGAATTTTCGTAGTCCCTCGTTCTGTAATCTTCTTTATTCTTACTCTCTCTTTTGTCGTACTCTTTATTTAAATCGTTAGATTTCTTGCTTGATGACGCTTCTTTCTCGTTTGCTCTAGACGAATCGTGTTTGGAAGACTTATCAAGTTTCTCATTTTTCTTGTATTCCTCAAATGAATCAGCATCTAAAAATATTAAAGGTCATGACATTGATATTAAAGAGTGATAATATATTTTGAATTTATGTCCAAGTGTTGTACCTTGTGTTACAACCCTCTGCGTGAGGAGTACACATACAAATAAGACCGGATATCATTCGACAGATCCTCGATTGTATCTGTGGACAGAAACCAATCAATTTTACTTTTTAAGATATATTATTTAAGGTTTCGATATTAGCAAGTTGCAATACTTGGACAGTATTCAAATAATTATTACTTGTAAATATTGCAAATGTAATTAGGATTTTTTTTTAAAAAAGGAGATTTTGTAAATTTGTACATAGATGTGAATAAAGACTACAGTTTCTAATATTAAAGGTGTTCATAAATTGTAAGACAGAAGTGTGGCAAATAAATCAGAACTTACTTATCACTTTAGACTCCTTATCAAATTCGGATTTAGTAACGGGTTGAACCATAAATTCACTCAAACTGACAGTCTCTTTTTTTATTGTTATGTCGATCATAACGCGACCATTGTCCTCGTCTAAACTTACCACCTGAAATTATAAATGTTCAAAATCAATCGATATGAAAATGATTATAATTCTAAAAATGTATCATATTTTCTATTTTATTTTTATTACACAGGGAACAAGCGAGCATTCGGCTCACCTGGTGGTAAGTGACTGCCGCCGCTCATGATAACCCACAACACTAGAGGCATTGCAGGTGTGCTGCCGGTCTTTTAAAAAGGGATATGCTCTTTTCTTGAAGGTTATGATATTGTATAGGTTCACAAATAGTGCTGCTGAAAGTTGATTTCAGAGAATGGTTGTACGTGTAAGACAGTGTCTTGAAAAACGTACGGTGGAAGATCACCACTCATCCAGATGGTTAGGATGGAAATTTAGTTTGTTGTATAACAGTAGTGGAAATCAGCAGCAGGTATCAATTCAAACAATTACTCAGAGTACTCTTACGTGCACAGAGATGCAACATCTCTACGCAGTTTCAGGGGGTCAAGATGGACAGTAAGGCGCTGATCATTAATAATTTGAGCCGCCCGACTTTGAATGCGGTAAAGCTAAATATGGTAGTAACATTACCAAATTAAAGGACCAACTTGAATATAGTTAAAATGAAATGACAACAATTATTTATACAAAGTTTTAGGATTCTAGGATGTTATATTGGCAAATTTTGTCTGAAAGTGTAATAGTTTATCTGTGAAATTCTAACACACAAAATTGTTTTTGCTTTTTTCAAATAAGAAGCGCTATGGCCATAGTCACAAATTTAGAAGCTTAAGAAAATAATACTTTTTAAATATGTACCTAAACTTTTAAATTTGGGGTTCCAAAATATTCTTAATACATAATAACATTTCATATCTCTGTGAAAAACATATGGAAATGACATTTAAAAAAATATGAAAAAAATAGAGCATACATTTCCATATTTTTAAAACCATATCATAGTCCTTTGTATTAGCGAAGGCGACCTATAAACTCTTGACACAAGAGGGTGCTATTACCTCACATCACCCTTACATTAGTAGTTAATAAATTATAAAAGGGTTGACAGATGACTAATACAAAATTCTACAAACAAGTTGGTTTCTGTATAAGAACTGGAATATTCGGTGTATTCAGCAACAATAATACATGATAGGTGCCAGAATTTATTGTATTATGCCCATGGTATAGTAAATTTCTTCATGGTCTTTATCCTAAATGAATATGAGAACTTTGCACCAAGCGGCAGATTCCCAATTCTTATGGAATATAATTAAAAAAAAAACAAAATCTTTCTTTTTAATTATAAAAGTTTAGTACATACTTTTCCATAATAACCACTATTTTTTCCAGTGGTAATTTTCACATAAGAATTCTTGACAATAGACAATTCTTCCTCTTTGTCTTTGGATGATTTTTTCTTTTGACTGTCAGCTATTACTTTATCAGCTCCTAAACCTAGGCCTTTTGGTCGTAGTTGAGGTTGCTTGTATTTAGATCTGAGAAAAATAAATTTCATAACGATTACTTCATTTCCAAAAAAAAAATCAAATTTTATCATGTGCTTAAACCAACAAATAAAACATAACTTTAAGCTTAATGTGTAATAACACATTAGCTTTCAGAGCCTTAAGTGTTTCTGTTCATATACTTAATATTGATTTTATAAAAAATAATTCAGATTGATAATGTACAAGTCAGACTATTGGATATATAATAATCATCATTATTAAACAACTGGTTTAAAAATAAAAAAAAATATAGTTAAATATACTCCTAAAATAGTCACAGTATAACTGTTTAATGTTTTTATTACTAATAAATTAACATTGAATTAAATTATATTAAAAAAAAATTAATTAGTTTTAAGAAATATATACTTACTGGTCTTTATTTGGTTTCCATCCCATTCCACGAAGCATTGCCATTCCAAATTCTGCAATGGGCACACTTTCATAGTCATCCAATGTTGACTGAAAAGAAATTATTTTTATTTAATTTCATTTATTTACATTTTGTAGATGTGTAGTATGTGTAATCTAAATGTATTGATAAATTAATGAAGCAATATAATTATATATTTTTTTTTATAAATATATGATGTAGTCTCCACTGATTCTCAATTGTAGGAGTTTTAAAGATTAAACATAGATGTATAAAAGAACTAGTTTTTAGGACCAGGATAAAAAATAGCCTATATTCTACTTTATCCTATATAGTATATGTATAACAAATTTCATATTAATCAATGTTAAGCCCTTATAGCACAAATAAGGTTACAAACATACAAACTCACTTTTAGTCAGGAATTATTATTAGTGGGCAAAAATTTAAAGTTCCAAGAAGCAAATGAATTATCATAATTGTAACATAAGTATATTATATTATCTGTGTATCTGTGACGTTATATTACCTTTTATTTTAGAAATGGTTAATTTTTGCAGAATAATTAGTGTTTTGGTTTTTTGAGAAACAAAATAATAAAAAAGCTCTGAGCATTCTATGTTACTGGGAAATTTACTTATTTCTGATTTGTTAATAAAAAAGATTTCCTTATGCATTTCTTTTTTTTTATATATTTTTGTCATTATATACATATAATACAAACTGGCAATACAAACAGATAATTTTAAGTTCACAATAGCAACTGAACATGAGGTGTAAGTGTCAGCAATAAAAATCAGGTATGTAGATAAATAACCTCTAATTAAGTCCTGATTGTGAACTTAAAATATGTTAAAACAATAAAGAAGTTTAAAATTATATAGATAATTTATCTATTTATTTATATTATTTATATAATAATTATTAAACTTACTTCTTTTTCACCATCCATAATAGGTATTGCAGGTAAAGGCACCGTTAATATAGGTCCATCTACCTTAGTCTCTTTTTTAGCATCTTCTAGAAGTTCTCTAACAGCCATTTGATCTAGTGTCTCATTTTCTGGTATTTCCTTTGCTAGACTCTTGGGTTTATTGTCTTTTTCTGGTTCATCAATTGCACTCTCCATTTCTTCTGCTATTTTCTTTAATTTCTCAGCTGTAATTAAAGTGTTTGGCTTCATGGGTATCACTAATGGGGCTTTTTCTTCAATCACCTCTCCCCTGAAAACATATTTTATTTATTTATTATACAAAATTATTACTAGGTCATTATGAGCATTGCACTCCTAATTAATAGGACTGTTAAAATGGAAACCTAAACCACTTAAGTAAACATTAAATATTAAAATATATATATTATATTTTATGATACTTAGATCAGTTTGAGTTTTTTTTTAATGTATTATAATGGAATGGTAACCACACCCGCGCTATCACTATACACCGGCAGGGCACCAGTAAAGGATGAAGTAGGTTGTTCACAATGGCTTCCAGGGGGATCCATGTGGAGGTCAACCTAATAAGTCATATTGCTAGTAATGGGACTGTCAAACTCCATTGCTAACAATTCCTTTCCCCCCAGATCAGTTTGAATTACAATCTTACTCAAGCAACAAATAGTACTAATATTAAACATTTGAAAGTTATCATTTACAAGCTTCTATTAATATTATATATTGTTAGCAGTATCTCACTACTTAGTTACCCCCCCACTTGTTACTGGAACTATATAGCCTAAGAGAGACTGAGTACAAACCCGTTTAGTCATCAGGTATGCATTCAAATACTACTCTGTTACCTTGTTTGATTTCATAAATTGATAAATGGTAAATTGTTGATTGTATGTTACATTAAGGTTATTATCTATCTTTGTTCATGTAAATTATGTGATTACTTTGTACTTGTGCCTACCTTTTAAACTAAATTATAAATAATTTTCTAAAAATATATATAAATACATATCTGTTACGCCTGTCTCCCATAAAGTAGGCAGAAACAATGGAAAGTCAAATGGTTCGATTCAAACAAACCTCTTTCGCTTCTTCTACATTCATTAATCTTTTCACTAGTTACAGGTACTTTTATTTTGGTTCTTCTTAAGCATGTCACCTAGTTTTTATTATACAAAAAAAAATATTGAATTATTTGGAACTGAAAATTTCAAAACTGCCTTGGATAAAAAGTAGCCTATGTCTAGAATTATTACTCATACATTATAAATTAAAATAAAAAATATCATAAATACATACCCAACGACTTTTATCGCCTTTTCTTCTACACATTCTATGAATTCTTTTTTTTCTTCCACATGAGGCTTTTCTGCTTTCTTGGTTTTCATGAAACCAAATGATATTTTTTTGGTTTCCATTGCCACCACTTTATTGTTTACAAACTCCAATCTAAAGATATTATGACATGCTGTATACACGTTATTAATCCTTCAGGAATTTTATGAATTTGACGATATATGCTTTTTATGTTTGTGACCCAGTAATTCACAAAGGCATAACACAATATTGTTGATTCGACATATCTCCTGAGTCTATATTGATCACAACTTAATATTTTTTTTTGGAATGATAATCACAATTAGCGGCAAATCAGCGGGTTATTTATTAGGGACACTAAGACTAATTTCTTGAGCACTTATTTACAATATCAAAAATAGTCAGTTATATATTTACAATTTTGTAAACTGTAAATAATTTGGTTAAACAAAAAGATGTATGAGAAGAAGTATTTAAAATGACTTTTTAATGAAAGACGCACTTGAGAGAGTAGTTTAACGTTGAATTGACAACTAAGATATCGCTTAGAAGAAAAAAATTTGTATCAAATCTATGCAAGCAGTTTATCGAGTTAGTAAATTTTACACTATTAATTGACTAAATATTTTATATTTTCTATTCATTTCCATATTTTGGAATATATTATAAATAGTTTTACAATAATATGAAGATTTATTTGTTTTGTTGTATGTTACATTAAGGTTAAAGAGATATAAATTGTGGGAATGAACTTAACATAAAAACTTAGTAGAATTATAACTTAGATGAAATTATTTATAAAGTACAGACAACAGGTGTATGTGTATGCAGGTGCAAGAGAAAGTGAATAGAATAGAAAAGTGTATGTGTATTTATATGAGTACTTGAGTGACAACTGTTCTGTAGAGTTGAATGAGTGGAGTAGTGATACACATTAGTGTTGTAATTACAACAATTAAAAAAATCTATGCAACTAACTAAAAGTATATACTTCTAGTTGCATAGATTGTTTTGTATATCAATGCAAGGGCAATGTCAACTCCTAAACAACGTAGTTCTTGCCTAGTCTGTGCTGGCACTGTGGCAACTGATCAACTGACATACTGACATAAGATGGACAGCAGTCGTAATAGATTATAGCAGTACACACTTGTTTGACAATCATAGTCATAATCTATGGTAGTAAAATGATTGGAAGATTTTAGTAAAATTAGTTTTATTTGCTATTTTGTTTTTCAAACTTGACGTTATTTTAACAGGAAATATTGTTTAACTTTATGTAAGATATAAAAAGTGAACGTGAAAATTTGGTTATTCCCCAACATACACACAACACGCACAACGGTCTTTATGGAGGAATTGATTCCGTTATGTGAATAGAGTTAAGCAAATAAAGAAATTTCAAGATATATTTTTATTTATATGAATTAACAATCTTTTTAATTTATAGATAAATAAAAAAAATATATGTAGTTTCAAACATTTACATAAGATAATTTATTTTATTTTATGATTGTGTACTTTTTTATGGCTACTCATTTTATTTTATGCGGGAATCAGATACAAATACAAGTACTTTATAATTGTGGCTTTTCTGAATGGAGGTCACGTACACTATTTTTATAATTTTAAATTATTTAGATTTTTTTTTATCAAACTCAGTACTATTTTAAAGTTTTGCAATGTGTATAATAATGAATATCGATTTTTTATATTAAAACTGACTAAACCTAATATAAAAAAAAAACTATACAAGCCTGAACAAAAAAATATGTTTTTAATCTCTCGCTCACTATGTTTTAAAAATGAAAGCAATCTGTCTGCATTATTTAATGCAGACTAGACTTGTGTCTGAAATCGAAACTTCACTCCATCAAGTTTCGATCTGGGGTGAACAAAATCTTGTCCAATTTAACCCCAATAAGACACAAGTCTGCGCGTTTACCGCAAAAAAGACGCCGTTTGTCGTATCTCCTCACTTTCAGGGCACTTCCCTTGATAAAAAGTCAAGTCTAGGAATCCTGGGCGTTGATATATCTTGCGACGTCCAGTTTTGCGGTCATCTGGAGGAGAAGGCTAAGATAGCTTCCAAAAAGTTAGGAGTGCTCAATAGGGTGAGACGATATTTCATGCCAGAACACCGCCTGAAATTATATAAAGCCCAAGTCAGGCCGCATATGGAATACTGTTCTCACCTGTGGGCAGGAGCGCCACAGTACCAACTCCTTCCGTTAGACCGCATTCAAAGTCGGGCGGCTCGAATTATCGATAGTCAACGCCTTACTGTCCGACTTGACCCATTGAAACTGCGCAGAGATGTTGCGTCTCTGTGCATCTTCTACCGAATTTATCATGGGGAGTGTTCTGAGGAATTGTTCGGATTGATACCTGCTGCTGATTTTCACCACCGTACAACCCGCCACAAACTAAAGTTTCATCCCAATCATCTGGACGAGTGGCGGTCTTCCACCGTGCGTTTTTCAAGGCACTTTCTTCCACGCACAACCATTCTTTGGAATCAACTTCCAGCAGCAGTATTTCCGAACCGATACGACAACATAACCTTCAAGAAAAGAATATATTCCTTTTTAAAAGGCCGGCAGCACACCTGCAATGCCGCTGGTGTTGTGGGTGATCATGGGCGGCGGTAGTCACTTACCATCAGGTGAGCCGCATGCTCGTTTGCCCCCTGTGTTGTAAAAAAAAAAAAAAAAATTTAATGCAGAATATTTTACATGTTAAGAAGAATTTTTGAAAGAAATATGGATCATAATACGAAACGTTCTGGTTATTTCTCGACCATTGATTTACATATTAGTATTTTTTATTATTATAAAAATGATGTAAAAATAAAATTTAAAATTTGCTTACTTTTCGAGTAAATTTAATATTTCAAATAAAAAAAAAAAAATTAAAAAATTATTATCTCTATTTTTTTCTTACGCTAATCAGGAAGGAGACAGGTATAGTTTTAATCATCTTCAACATTCTCTTTCATATTTAATAAAATAACAATAAAATTATTATTTAAATATAATTTTCAATATAGCTTTTGCCTCTAATATTAAAAGTAGTAGAATTAATTACAAGAAAATAAATATCAAAGTCGAGGTTCAAGGCAAAAACCTGGGGTATTTTTTCGTCATCTTAATACCTCTTTTTAGGTAACTAGCCAAGTTTTTATTTTTAAGGAACTTACAAAGACTGGACATGCATCAAGGGAATTCAATGATGAAATCATCGTAAGTGAATTTATTGCTCGAAACGAGACACCGGACGTCGCAACCCTTAGTTTCAATCTCATTCTATCTCTTGGGCTCGCTAGCAATAACGATTCCATCGATGGATTAGTTTGCTACTTGTCTTGGGGGCCAGATTAATTATTGTTCTTAAATCCAACATTTTGAGGGTTCTGTACAAAAATAGTATAAAGGAACCTTTATGGTGCGTCTTCGTTCGTCCATCACAGTTTGTCTATTGTTGGCTCACCTTTATTGAATATATATTGTTATTTTCTTTGCTAGAAGATTTCAAAGAGTACTCGAAATTTTGCAATGGGCTTACTTTTCAAAGTGAGCATCGAAATAGAACGTATTTTTGTTAGTAATGGGACTACTACATGCTTTTACTAACAATCTTCTTTCGTCACCACTCTACTATACTCTCACAAAGAAAGTCTTAGTTTGGTATGCGCATGAAATATAAAAAAATAAATAATACAGAGCAAGAACTATAGCCAGAATAATACAGAATTATTCACAAATCAAATATAATGAAAGAATCCTTACTAATATTATAAGTATGAGTGTTTTTGTTTTTTTGTTACCTTATAGTGCTTTAACGGTTTAACTAATTACTATAAAATTTGCTATATATGTATATAGAATGGAGATGGTTATAGTCTACTTTTTAATTCGGTTAGTGAGTATATTCCGGTCACGCAGTCGAAGTCGCGGGTAAAAGCTAGTACGAATAAATAGTAGATAGAAAAGTAAGAACATCGTTCGCTATGTCTAATTTCACCTTTAGATAAATAGGCATAAATATGAAACTATTGAATTAAAGGGCGCTCTTTTTTCATAGTGGACGGGGCCCGCGACGATGCCACGGGTCGAACAAACAAAATTAAATATCTTCGCGACAATATCGACATGATATTGGGCCCGGAATGTTTTGTGAGCCAGCTGCGATTTATTTGCTATAGAAATGAGACAATAAATTGTTATATTGCTTAAGTATCAATTTTTTCATGTTTTCTTTTATTTCATTCACGTATTACATAGGTACCTATATTTATTTGTATAATACATTTGAAGATTTTGTAGTCATATAGTTGTTTTCATATTTTTTTTATACCATTGAGGTGTTAAAGAAGTACCTGATGGATAATAGTTATTATAGCATATGAACGTCTGAATTAATATCTCTTTTTTGAAGAATCCTATGCTGTAGTCTCTTAGGAAAATCTCGACATGGAGTTAAATCCATAATCTGAGCCTTCGTGGGAGGAAGAGTCTCTGAAACCACGTTGTACGTGACCATCCAGGCTTTAAAATATGGGGGTGAATTTCATGTCGGAAGGTATGCTATTTAATAATAACTCTGATTCTAATACAGTCCATTGTATAGATGGTAGAACATGCAAATTAAGGTAGAACTTTAAAATCTCTTCTAAGACTTAAGGGTTCGATATCGCTTCTGAGCCTGAAATCGACAATTCTCATAATACGTCGTTGTACTGAGTTGAAGGGTTTATTAAGCTGATATTTAGTAGCTCCCGCCTATAAATGGTAGTAATATTCCATGTGGGGCCGGATTTGCGACTTATAGAGCAATAATCGTTGATCCGGCGGGCAGTATTGCTTCGCTCTATTAAGCACATCTAGTTTTTTTTTGGATGCCAGCTTTACTTTATTTTCGAGGTGGCTATGAAACTGTACGTTGCTATGAGTGTCGATATTAAGAATGCCAATGCTTTTAGAGATGATAAGGGACGTGCCCTGAATGATGAAGCCACATGAAATGGTTTTATTTTAGCTGTTAATGCGCAAGCTTGGGTCTTAGTGGGGTTGAACTGATTAAGTTTTGTCATCAGAAATGGCAGAACCTGGCTAACATTTTCTCGATTCAGACACAAGATGTTCACAATTTACCTTCACGATGAAATGAAGCATATTGTAACAGACCGTATAATAGCCATTATTTTTTTTGAAATACTATAATGCTGTTGGCCGCAGATGGCCTTTACAGTTTCATCGGAGATAATGGGGCTAGTGTAGACGGCACTCCAAACCCGCAGTTGTACTTAGAAATGGTCTTTCGCTATCTTTTACCCACCGGATACGACTTTTGAGTCTGCGGACATCGCGGAGCGGTTCCTATCTCGGCCAAGCCGTCGTATCTCAATTCCCACCTGAAGGGATAAGGAGATCGTTTCGGACTGCTTGTGTAGGTGCTAAGTACCTAGGTGCTTGATGGGTATCTATAATATATCAGTATCATATTTTAATTAAGTTTAGATAACTATCTAATTAC